GGTTTGCAATAGTATATTACACCTACTGTTACTCATGCTACTATTCCAATATGCTAAACTTGATTCCTTTCAGCAATTTTGATCTTGACTTTTTGTATGCTGACTATGGAAGGGAAATAGTTTTTAGTAGAGTTATTTTAATTTTCTAATGAATGCATGTGAAACACATTATGCTACAATTAGTAGTCAAACTACACAGGGTCTATGTGTGTGTGCATGCACTTATCTGTTCATATATACATATATATGATGTGTCAATCTATTTATGTTTTTACCTATCTACTTGACTTAGTTATACACATTGTAATACATGCTGTTCTGACATGAACTGATTAACCAAGGACGCTAGCGCCTGTTGCTGGAGGGACAGTTAATAGTGTGACACCATAAAGACTCTTCCCCATGCTGGAAGAGATACTTTCTCCTTCAAACTTGAGAAGGATGACCTTGGTTTTAAAGAAACAGAGATTTGAAGCAACCATTACTAGGGCCAATTTCTTATGACCCTGGGCAGTGGCCTGAGGCAAGGGGCAGTTATCTCGACAAGCAGATCAAACTGCGGGGGCATTAAACAGGAAGAAAAGGATCCCCACTGCCCGGAGGGGAAGCCATTTTTGGTGCTCCTTAAGGAGGAGGACCTGGGAACCCATCCTAGAACGTTGCACTTAAGATTCTGTGTATTCATTTACATATCCTAACGGCTTCCCTGATTAGGGTTATGGGTTGAGAGAACTTTCAACAAATCCTCTTTCCATCTTTTAAATTATACAGTTAAAAGAAGACTCCCCTGTAATGAGTAAATACCCCTCCCTGACCCTTGGCATCAAGATTCTGTTGCTCAGTCTGGGCAAAACCACTTAAACTGCCTCTTGACTACCTAATGAGGTGATTTGCTTATGTTTTTAGTAAAATGACATGGAAAAGAAACAACCTCATTTTTTTTCTCTTTAGATAAAAGTAAAGGCATCTGAAAATGCAGTGTGAGTCAGTATATGATATACATAATAAAATAAGACCTCAAAAATTTTCCTTTGAAGCATCTTGCTTAATAAAAGAATAAATAAAGTATATGCACATACAAGAATCTAGAGGCAAATCTTTTAGTGTTTAGTTGCTCAGTCATGTCTGACTCTTTGCAACCCCATCAACTATAGCCTAGCAGCCTACTCTGTTCGTGGGATTCTCCAGGCAAGAATACTGGAGTGGGTAGCCATTCCCTTCTCCAAGGATCTTGCCGACCCAGGGGTTGAACCGAGGTCTCCTGCATTGCAGGCAGACTCTTTACTGTCTCAGTCACCAGGGAAGCCCCTAAGTCTTTTTAGGAAGAATGAAATATTTTCCAAGTAGTGTTATAGATAGAATTGGCCCTAAAAATGTGTGATAGATAAAAATTTGCCTCTTTCTAGTTCTTTATAGCACTTTTTTGTCTATTCTTGGAGACCCAGAGTTTCTGGAGTTTAGAATCCAGCTCCGAAGAACTATCAGCTACCCTGTAGCCATCTTAAAATCCCCAACCCTAATAATGGTGCAAGATTTTGTTCTTCCTAGTGATTATTGCATTTTAGTAATAAAATGTTAAAGATTCAATGTGTTTAAGACCCCAAAGACTGGTATAAGTCTATGCCTCAGAGAGGTTTTTAGTTATAAACTTACCCTGGTACCCCCAAAAAAAGACAGAAATCTAGAGTTGGGATTTGAAAAGGAATTGAGCCTTTTGTCTGGGGAAGGGAGAGGAGTTTTCAAAAAGTATATAGAGCATATGGAAGGGCAAAAAAGTGTGAGATGGTCTGTTCTAATTGGAGAATGCCACATAGAGACTGAGGTGACCGATAACATGGGAAGAATGGAGGGAGATGAGGCTGGGGTAGGAAGTCTGGTTCAGAGAGCACAGGGCCTGGAAAGTCATGCTAATTTAGAAGGTGAGCAGCCAGTAGACATTGTTTTAGCAGCAGAAGTGAAAAAAACACACAGTGTATCTACTGTCAGAGCAGTGCTAGGAGGATCAGTCTCATTCATGTATTCAGAGGTCATCAGTTGAACACCTACTAGATTCTATGACGCTCTTCTCCTGCCTTCAATATTTCCCAGCTTCAAGGTCTTTTCCAATGTGTTAACTCTTCACATCAGGTGGCCAGAATATTGGAGCTTCAGCATCAGTCCTTCCAGTGAATGTTCAGGGTTGATTTTCTTTAGGATTAACTGGTTCAATCTCCTTGCTGTCCAAGGGACTCTCAAGGGTCTTCTCTAGCACCACAGTTCCAAAGCATCAATTCCTTGGCACTCAGCCTTCTTTATGGTCCAACTCTCACATCCATACATGACTACTGGAAAAACCACAGCTTTGACTATGGCCTGCCTGATGAGTCCGTAAATCAGATCCTTTGCCCATAGTGGGAGCATAGATGGCTGCATTGCTCTGCCTCTCAAATCTCCTCAATCTTTTTCAGCTGTCTTTGTACTTTTTTACCCATTGGAGAATTTTGTGATATTACCCTCTCAATGTTAATTGTACTTTTTAGTCATCTTAAAACATTGTTTTTCAATCTCTGGTCCTAACCTTTCTTTCCAGCATACTTACCCACTCCAAAAACCGTGCTTTCCAGAAAACAGTTGAAGTCTGATGATTCTCTGCCTTCTCATTCTTGGCTATATAGAAACTTAAGATGGAGTGATCATTTCCACTTCATTAAGCTACTTCTTTGTTGGTCAGAAACAAGTCTAGAGAAAAAAAAAAATCTCATTCCTACTCTCTTTTGACAGTGAATTTTTCAACAAGTCAGTTAAAAAAAAAGCATCTGACATCTCCCAGAACCTTGAAATCCTCCCCAAAATACTGTGCGTTGCCAGAATATCTATTGTTTTGTATTTTAGGAACAATCTGCCCATATTTCCTAGTCAGCCAGTCATTCCACAGTTAGCTCCTACGGTGATATTTGATTTTAGCTCTCTTTTCATCCTCACCCATGTGTTCTCTCCAGGAACCCGGCTCTTCTCTTGGAATCCCTTTTAAGATTTTTAGAACCTATTGGCTGCCATGCTTTCTCCTACTAGACTGTGGAATCACAGGATGCTATTTCTGCTTCAGATTATGTTTCATTCTTTCTAGAAAAAAAACCTTAGAGTAGTGAGATAGCTTTGGGAAACTATTTCTTCTCTATCTCCTCAGTATCACTGTCTTTTCAGTCATTACTTCTTGGCATTAGTTTTCTTTGAAGTCTTTATTGAATTTTCTACAATATCACCTCTGGTTCTGTGCCCTGGCATTTTGGCCATGAGACATTCCGGATCCCAGATCTCCAGCCAGGGAGCAAACTCACACCCCCTGTACTAGAAGGTAAAGTCTTAACTACCAAACCTCCAGCGAAGTCCCAATCTTGGCATTAGTTTTTTATTCTGTCACCTCACTTTTTTTTTTCTTTCTGCCTTGTTCAAGATTACTTCTTCCACCTGTAGGAACCTCTTGTTCTCCCCAAGAATCTTGAGAGATGGGAGACATGCCTCCATTCCTTTCATCATCTTCTCTAACAAAAAGACAACCTTAAAAAAGCTGAAAGTGATATAACCATGAAAAGTCATTTATGGTCACATCAGAATGGAATGCCATATGGCACATTTTCTTCATGCCTCTAGAACAATTGCCTTGTTGTCCATACCTCCTGGATTTCCCACTGAGATGCCGTGTTTTGCAGCTTTACTTTAAAACTTTCCTTCTGAACTACACAGGCCACGTTTTCTTCACTACCAGTCTCCTGGGTGTATCAGGCTCCAGAAGCCATTGCCTATGAACTCAATGTGACACTCCTTATCCTTCATCACTCACCTGCGATAATCCAGCTGTTTGTTGATATTTAGTATCAGTTTGCACCAGCAAATTCAGTGCTTCAGTACATATAGGGCTATACCAGGCCTTTGGCTGAGTTTTTCCCAAAATATTTTATATATTTCAATCCCTTATCTCTAACTTCTTACCATATTTGTTTATCATTCTGCTTCTTATTTAACACCTAATGCTATTACCTACTAGTGTCAGGAACTGTGCTAATATTTTTCCTTTTATTTTCCTGGTATTGTGCTATGTGCATTTCCTGTATTAGTCATTGAATCTACACAGTTACCCCTATGACATTAACCCTATCATTATCCTTGCTTGCTGAAGAGAAAACCTGAAATTTAGAGAAGTTTGGTAACTTAACCAAGGTCACAGAGTTCCTAAGACAGAGAGAGGTGAGGTATTCTCTCCCAGGGGGGTTTTACTCTGGAACTTCAGATCTTAACTATTACCATATGCTACCTTACTCTACAGTGTTCATCACTATTCATATTAATTTAATATTTCTTAGTAACTTTGAAACCATGTTTCATTATCCTAATGGAAAAACTTTACTAGTTCTGATTTTTCAAAAATAACTAGCTTAGATTTTCTTCACTGCTAGCCACTTTATTACCAATCTGAAAGCAAAGGAAAAATATAAATATAAGATGCTCCCAATATAAAATACAGAGCAAAGACAAGAACATTTCATTGGCTTTGATTTCTCTAGAGTCCACCGCCAAAGTAATTTACTTCCTATTCAGGGAAATCGTAGGTTTGAAATAAGATCTTATCCAATCTTTACTTTTTTTTCCCTCTTGATTAAAAAAAAAGGTAAAACTTATTCACCTGGCACAGTCTGAATAGTTTCTATTTTTCTTTACCAGTTCCACAACCTGTATAATTGTCATTGAGAAGGACTTTCTAAATTAAATTAATTGCTCAGCCATGAGGATAATCAAAACCATTTTGAAAGACTGTTAAATGTTTATTAATGAAAAGTTGGGATCTTTGAATTTTTCTATCATGCAGTACTATCTAAAGTATCCATATGGTTAGAAGAAAAACACATGCCATAAATAATACTTTGGCTGAAATTGTTGCCCTTACATCAGTTTTATTTTTATTGAAATTGGCTTCTTATCTTGTGTTTCTAATATTTTTTTTTCTTTTTTTAAAAAAAATTTAGCTCCCAGTCAGACTGTTGCTCTGGTGACACAACCTGTGGTTGCCAAGGAAACCGCTGTCTCCAAACTAGAAATGCCATCTTCCTTGCTGTTGGAGGTCCCTGCACTGGCAGATTTCAACCGGGCTTGGACAGAACTTACCGACTGGCTGTCTCTGCTTGATCGAGTTCTGAAAGCACAGAGGGTGATGGTGGGTGATCTTGAAGACATCAAGGAGATGATCATCAAGCAGAAGGTATGGGGGAAAGCAGATCACAGTTGGCAGAGGTTTGCTTGAAAGTGAAGACTTTCCACAAGTTGCTTAACTCTCCTAGACCGTTTCCCACCAGTTTTCATGCAGCTTTTTTCCATCAGCCAACACACTCCTCTGTTTACTGTGTTCAGTCCAAATATGATCAAGGAAACAAATTAATGCCATTGTCTAAAACAGCCATGAACTGCACGGGAATACTGGGAGTAAAAAACATAACCCTTAAAGTATAGTTGACTTAATGAAATTCACTAAACAGCTAGTATTTTAAAAATCAATTTTACATCAAATAAATATCTCATTTGAGCTATTTACATTTAAACTGTTTGTTTTGGTACTCTGCAGCCAAAATATATTCCAGAATCAAATATAATAATCTGGGACTTGTTTATTCAGTCTTCTGAGTTGTCCATGCCAATTTTCCTCCTCCAGTGATAATTGGATAATTAAAAAAAGGATAATTGAAAATAAGCTACAAACAAGAAAAGTAACAAAACATAATGCATTTTTAAATAACATAGATCTTAATATTCATATTTATTTAATGCTATGCTCAGACATGTTTTTTAATGCAGAGATTGCACTTCTCGGCCTCATTGCAATCCACTCTGCAAAATTATGACATCAATGAGAGACATAAGAATACACTGAAATAAATATGATTTACCTAGCTAGAACAAATATACTGTATGTCTTATATTTCTGAATGAATAAGAAAAGTACTTTTGAAAGGTTTATATGCTGTAGCTTTTCACTTGTAAATGATTTTTCAAGTCATTATTCTGAAGAAGTAATAAATTGTACTAAAGTTGTTTAGCTGTTACAGAGCTACTTTTTGGAAAAACAAGAAGTAGGGGAAGACAGGTTTCTCTTTAAAATGAACTTCAGCAATTCAGTAAGAATGCAAATTATTTAATAGTAAGCAACCTGCATTTAAAGTATCTTAATCTTAGACTCAGAAGACCTGAATTCAGTGGTCTTGTCTTTGTCATTTGTAAGTGGCATGATTGTAGTCAAACCATTCTCTGGATCTTGGTTTCCTCGTCTGAGAGCAAGGCTCAAAGAATTCACATTCGCATACATCATATCGTGTTGGTAATGTGTGAATATAAAGATATGTAAACATATATATAGTTAACTATATATTTATATAAATGTATAGTTGGTTTTATTACTACTTTATGACAAGTATCATTAGCCAAATTTTTCCAAAAAAGCAAATGAAACTCATAGACATCACACTCCTAATAAGTAGCAGAACAAAGATTCAAATCCAAGTCTGTCCGGTTTCTAAGTCTGTGTTCTTACTGTGTATACTGCCTGCCAGTATTAACTGTAAATTTGGCTGCCATTTGGTGATACGTGTGTATTTGTCTGTGTCAGATGCAGTGCTAAGCATTTTACAGTTGCAGTGTGCTGATATATACAGAGGGCTTCCCTGGTAGCTCAGTGGTAAAGAATCTGCATGCCAATGCAGGAGATTCAGGTTCAATCCCTGAGTTGGGAAGATCCCCTGGAGAAGGAAAGGCAACCCACTCCAGTATTCTTGCCTGGAGAATCCCATGGACAGAGGAGCCTGATGGGCTACAGCCCATGGAGTTGCGAAGAATCAGACATGACTGAGTAACTGAGCAGACATGCACATTACATACAGAAACAAGAGGTACATTCTTTCACAGTATCTTATTGAATTATACCAGTACTTCTGGAACTATCCCTAACCAGAGGAGGCAGTGTGTTATAATGTTTAAAACAAGGGCTTTGAAATTAGATTTCCTAAGTTTAAAGCTTGGTTCCTCTACTACAGCTGTGTGACCTTGGGTGAGTTATTCAACCTCTCTGAACCTGAGGTCATCTGTCTATACAATGTAGATAATGATGCTATCTTCCTTATAGGAGATCATGAGGATGTAATTGGGTTGTGCATGGAAACGCCTCCCACCTTGCCTTGATCACTGAAACTATTCAACTAATGTTAGTGATTAATATTAGATTCTAAGCAAGCTATATAAATCTGCCTGTTCATGACCTTTGTGCTGTATGTCATATAATAATATTACATGAAAATAAGAGCTCATTTCCACACCTGGACCCCATTGTGCTCATGACATTACAGCCTCCTTTCAGTAGATACTAGAGTGGGAAAGGTAGTATACACTGTCTTGTGAAATGTTTGATGCCTCTTCAAAGTGATGGTCTTTAAATTACAGGTCCAAAAGTAATTCAGGGAAGTTCAAGTGCCATGTCTGGGGTCACAGAAAGCCAGTACAGTTGTCAATCCGATGGGAGATTGCTTCTGAAATCCACCAAGATCTGCAGATGCTCAAGTCCTATAGTTGGCAGATAGGGAGGGTCCACTCTGCTAATTTAAAAAACAAAACAAAACAAAACATGTAATTGGACCTGCACACTTCAAACCTGTGTTGTTCAAGGGTCAATTGTATTTAAATCTGTTCACACATGCACACACACACACCTGTAATCTCTCTTCTCTTGCTAAATAGTAGGGATGCTTTTCCTGCTTCTTCCCCTTATATTGAAAAAAATTATAGAGATCTTGCCAATTCTTGCCTTGTATAGCTTCAGTCACTACATGATCAGTAAAATGACTCTAAACATTAAACAAATTGTGTGTGGGGGGGATACAAAAAAGATGAATTTGGGGAAATATTTATTATGATATCAGAAAATAAGTATTTCCTCTATATGGAGTTTTAAATAAAGAAATTCTAACTTTACTGTATGAGGTATAAGACATGAGGCAGTATCCCACAAGTGCTTTATAAACTGTAAAACACTATCTGCCTATTTATTCATATATTCTTATAGTAAGTTTATATTGAGCTACTACTTAGTGCCTGGGAAATACAGAGTTGGACAAGATAGGAATGCATAGATTAAAAAGATGAGGGAGGGGGAAAGCATTGACAGCACTCTGATAGAAATAACGTTTAGCACATATTTAGCATTAATGATGTCCCAGCCACTTTTCTAAGTACTTTGTGTATACTATGTGTGGGCTTAGTCACTCGGTCATGTCCGGCTCTTTGCAACCTCATGGACTGCAGCCTGCCAGGTTCCTCTGTCCATGGGGAGTCTCCAGGCAAGAATATACTGGAGTGGGTGGCCATGTCCTCCTCCAGGGGATCTTCCCAACCCAGGGGTCAACCCAGGTCTCCCACATTGCAGGCAGATTCTTCACCATCTGAGGCACCAGGGAAGCTCTTGTGTCTACTACTTAATGTTTACAACAACACTGTGAGACTTACACTAAAGCAACTTACCCACAGGGCTTCCCTGGTGGTCCAGTGGCTAAGACTCTGTGCTCTCAATACAAAGGGCCTGGGTTCAGTCCCTGGCTGGGGAACTAGATCCCACATGCTCCGACTAAGACCTGGTGAAGCCAAATAGAAATAATCAAATTTAAAAAAAAGAAAAAGAATCTGCCTAGCAGTGCAGGGGAAGAAAGTTCAATTCCTGGTTGGGGAACTAAGGTCCCACATGCTGTGGAGCAACTGAACCTGTGTGTTGCAACTAGACAATCCATGTGCAACAATGAAAGATCCCTGCATGATGGAGCTAACACCTGATGCAGTCAAATAAATAAATAAATATTTTAAGAGGTAACTTGCCCATGGACACAGAATAAAAAGACAACAGTGAGATTTGAACTCAAGCAGTCTGGTCCCGGAATCCCCACCCTTAATCACCACAGTCTTCTGCTTCCCTGGATATCCTCGGGTGATGCTCCAGAAACTAACTTCATGGCAGGGACATCTAACTCAGCCAGGGAGGAGGATGGATGTCAGAAAAAGCTTCTTGAAGAAGATAAAACCTAAGCTAAGCATTCAGGAACAAGTTGGGATTAACCAGGTAGATTAAATGACAGAGGCCAAGTGCTTTTCACTGAGGTAAACAGTGCAGTGTAATAGTTTGATTCCATCTGGCTGGAACTAAGGGGATGAGGAGGGAACTGATGTTGCATAGAGAATTGTAGAGCTAAAATATGGGGATTCTTCCTTACCAGACTACAGAGAGTTTTTTTTTAATTGACATGTGATATTACAGTAGTTTCAGGTGTACAATGTAGTGATTGGATATTTTATCTATTACAAATTTTTACAGTTTAATTCATTAATCTGCTATAAAATAAGCCATCCTACACAACTATTACACTATTGACTAAGGAGTTCTGATTATGGCCCACAGGTGGTGGCAACCCTTAAGGAATTTTAAACAAAGAAGTGTTGATAAAAGCATCAAATGTAGTTTAGTTGCATATTGATAGTTAGGTTTCTCTCCATGCAAGCAACAGAAACATCCTCTGATTAAATCAAGCAGAAAGTAAACTTTCTCTAATTAGCACGAAGGCAGTGGGAAGAGACGGGGCTTCCCTGGTGGCTCAGTGGTAAAGAACCCACCTGCCAAGGTAGGAGACATGGGTTCAGTCCCTGGGTCAGGAAGATCCCATGGAGAGGGAAATGGCAACCCACTCCAGTATTCTTGCCTGGGAAATCCCATGGACAGAGGAGCCTGGCGGGTTACAGTCCATGGAGTTGCAAAAGAGTTGGACAGGACTTAGCAACTGAACAAAAACAATGGAAGAAAACCCAGAAAAAGAAAAGGGATCTAAGTGTGCCTGGGCATTTAGTTAGCAGGCTCTACTTGAGTCTCCTTGTGATATTCTTTTTCTCTTTATTCTGTGTAGCTGTTCAAAATTTAAAGTCCTAGGAGTCCAGCTGACCTTGCTTAGGTCACACCCCCACCTCTTAGCTAAAAGAGAGCAGAGAACATTGATTTAAACCCCTCTCCTTCCAAAGCTCCTTACACTGGAGGAGAGATAATTTACCACCCCCCCACCCAGTCTAAGCAATATGTTTATTTCAACTTTGCAGTATAGAGACCTGAAATAAAACTATTTATGCCCCAGTACTATAAATATAATTTTGACACCTTCACATTCAGTAATTGGTTCTCCAAAAAAC